TTCACCTTTTGAGTTGCCATACTGACATAAATGAACATTTGCACGATATTCTAATTTTTCGAGTTTCACCTGTATTCACCTCTATTGGTCTTCTCATCTTACATATAAGCCGGAGCTTATCTAATAACTGAAAAAGCATGTGAATCTAAAAGTGAGAATTATAGAGATTAGTATAATCTACTATAATTATCATAGAATTGCTTCTACTTTGCTGCTGCAGCTTTGTAGATAGTAATTGTCAATTTATAACTCTCAAGTGATTTTTTGCTTCTGGATTGTATTTATATCCTGTCTTGTAGCCTGCTTGCCTCTTATCACACACATTGGAAGTAAAAGAATACTTATTTAAAAATACCAAAAATCTAGCTCATATTAAAAAAAAAAAAAAAAGCAATGAATAGAATACCCCCAAATTACTGAGCTGCAAATCCTGGAATATTGCTGGCTGCATTGACATAACTTGCTTAAACTTGTCACTGAATTGACCCATTTTAAGGTGTTTGCCCAATATCTTGAACCATAAATTAACCAGATGGACTGAGTGCACAGAGTGCATTAAGCCATTAAAAAAAACTAACAAAACTTAGCATGTTGAGCAAATGCAACCATTAGGTCTTTACCTGACCTGATTAATGCAGTCCTGGAATAAGTTTCTGGAAGATGCAAACAAAACAAACTTATAGAACTTCCTTAAGAAGAACATTCTGAAGAGGTTGCCACTCCCTGACTTGGGATAAAGGAAGGATACAGATTCCTTGTATATGAAACCAGTCATCAATATTTTTCAACTTTGTCTTCTACAGAGCAACCGTATTTTTGGAAGAAGTCTTCAGACAAACAAATATGGCCCCTTATTGCCAAGAATATTTTTTTGAGGGCCAACTATTTGAAATGGAACCTAACCTGCAGGCTCAACATTTCCCCAAGACCACAGAAAATTGCCCTTTGATCATGTTCAGCACAGAAACAGAGGAGCCAATAGAAATGAGATACCTAGATCGTAAGTACATTTAGTCAGCTGCGACGGTGTCTTTAACAAACCATGACGACACCAAAGTTACAACATGGTCACAATGACTTCATTATGCAAATGCTGAGATTACATACTTGTATCATGATGTATGATGTCATCACATGGCTCATAATTTGCCTACCATTGCTTCAACCTCCCCCCCCCATGGACACATCTGATTCTTTTTGAGTGCAGTTAGTCAATCTGCTCCTCTGCTGTTCTCTTATCATTCCTAGGTAAGTTGGTATGTTTACTTCCCCAAAAAGGTAGTTTTATAACACAAAGGCAGGATCTAGGAAGCGCCCTGACACACTAAACTGAATTAATAAAAATCATATTCCATTTTTAATGTCCAAATTTATCTTTGAAATAGATTGGTTCTTGTTCTCAAAAGTGAGAGCAAGTTGTACAAAACATTTAACCAAGACGTTTTGCAACCCATCCCTTCTTCAACTGGAAACCTCGTATGCATTTCTTTCAAGCAGGCAAATTTCAGATATGCTGATTATGTTGTGGGGGATTGTTTGAACTAAGTGCAAAATAGTCTCTTGAAGTGTGAAGGAAATTACAGTAAATGTATTGTGGGAAAAACTAGAGAATGACTATAGATCAAAGATCCTATCAGCCTAAATTAAGGGTGAAGGAAAAGTTTGTTATTAATTGGAAGCCAGCAATGTGGTGATGAAACAATCTTGTAGATCAAAATTTTCCCTCCTTTAAAACATTGAGTTTTGTTTCCAGTCAGAGATAAGATACTAAGTCTGGTCTACTATCATTATCATAACCCTCTTTAGGCTTTCATTAGAATGTGAAAGTGGATAGAAAATGGGGTGCACACATTGCAGCTGCCTCTTTTTCTGAGAACAAAGTTCTGAAGAGGAGGTGTACTTATATTTGGTTGAACGTGAATATGCTATCTCAAATTCTGTTAGGGTCCCAAGTCACATAGAGATTTGTACTTGCGTACAAGCATGTGCAACTACAGCAATTCTTCATATTGCCCAGATAGACAAGTAGAGGTCAGAAAAAGTAGCAGGTAAGGCTTTGTGGGCTGTTCCATCCTATATCCATTTGCAGGTCCCCACAAATTCAGACAAATGCTTGAAGGGAACTATTAATGGAGGGTTATAGATACACTACTTGTATGTAGCATTATCTGTAAACTATATAGTGTGGGCACTAGATGTCACTGCAGCTCCACAAGTACAGAATTTCTTTCATAATGGGCAAATTTTGCATGAATGGTCACTATGGCAGTCTTTCCTAATTTGCTTCTTTTCAGATGCCTTAGATCAAAACTCCCATTATCCCAAGTCGTCATGGCCACCTCAGAGAATATGACTGTATTGGTTGAATGTAGATGATGATGATGATGAAGAAGAAGAAATTATTTGTAATCTTGGAGAAAGGTATCATGTACACTTTAATTTCTTTTCTTTTCTCCAGCATCTTTGGAATTCCCCAAATTCCTCCCCAAAGTCGATGTCCTAACAGATTGCAGCACAGCAAAGGTATATTTTTGTTCCGTAATGAAAAAAAAATCACCTATTTTTCACCTATATTCACCAATGTAGGAATGGAAGGGTTTTGACTGATGGGCCCAAGTCCAGAAGCTTAAAATTCAGCAATAGCTGGAAGAAGAAATGGATTTCTTGAGCTGTTCTTCCTCTGCTGTTACTTTTTTGATAGGACTTTTACTCAAGATGATCTGTTTGACAGCCTTTGGTCAGAGAGGGAAAGGTGAAAAATATCAATATGAACCCCAAGAGGCTCACATGACAAGAAAGGGGGCAAAGCAGTGGGGAAACAATGTCCAAATCAACTCCACACCTAACTGTATCTGTCTTGCCCCCAGGGTTGACTGCATACTAAAACCATAAGCAATATAAACCCTGCTGAGTGAATCAAAGTTAACTAGTTGCCAAAACAATGATAGACAATAAGCTGGGTACGTATGTTACATTGTGGTCTGTTTCCCACATGCATAATTCATTCTTAAGGTTTTGCTTCTATGAAAGTGGAACACAGTGCTTGGGTTAAGAATATGTCCCCCTTTAAAATATGTTATAAGTGAAAATTAACACAGGAGGAGATGAGTGTTTGAAAACTTCTTCACATATGTTAGTGATAGCTGTAAGGAATAAATTACCTCCTTCGTAATGGCTGGCATTTAGACAAAAGTGGATTATTTCCATGTTGATGTAGTAAATTTGCACCAGGCAAGTTAAGTTTTAACATGTTTTGTGATGGTTGGCAAGACTGTATTAGGTTAAAAAAGGGAGTTATTTCTTTCTGCTTCTTCAAAGAAACCACATGTTTACACTTGAATAAGAATGTGTCACATAATATATCAAATTGGGCACAACATTATTTATTAATTTGTGAAGGGTGAGACCAAGTCTTCTTTCCTGCATGATCCATGTATGTGGAGGACAAGAAGCTGGTTTCAAAGAGGCAGGGAGTGAAGACTGAAAAAACTTTCTGTTCCTCCCTCTTCATCTTTGCTTTGCTGCACCCTACTATCACTCATCCTAAACTAGCCAACTCCTCTGTGCTATGGATCTTTCTGAACAGGCTATAGGAGGGAATAACCTGTGCTGACTTGCTTGTCCCTTTCTTCTGCAGCAATGCCTTTCCGTTTCTATAACTCATCTTTCCATTTCCATGTCCCATCTTCTGCTGCACTTTCCCATTGTATTTGTTGCTTGTGTATGATTTGGACCATGCCTATGAAATATTTAAGACAGATGTCTGGAAAAGCTTTTGGTTATAGATGATAACATATCATGGGGTATATGTGGAAAACTTTGAATTTTTACGAGGTACTATTTGATCTTCAAACACAAACACATTGAAACTACACTTTTCACAACTTTTAATACAGTTTGTAACTGGGGAAAAAAAGACAAAATCCTGGTGTATTAGGGAAAAGGACACATAAAAACACATTATGGGTAGAAAATCATGTCCATTCTTTGTTGCGACCTCCAACTGCATACTGTGCAATCACACGTTATTTATTTTATGCTGCAGGATGTCTTAACAGCAACTCACCAGACCCTGAGGATATCTCATTCATTTCTGCAGTGTCAAGAGCTCATTGTCAGAGGTTTGTATTGGATAAGGTAAGTAAAATGGCTCCTGCTTCTGCTTTGTCATCAAGAAATCAGGAATTATCTAGAGTTGGTTAAGATGCCTCAGCCTTGAAACATCTTAAATATCTTCTGATTGGCTTTGAAACATCTTAAGTATCTTCTGATTGGCCTTGAAATTTGTAATATCTTCTCATCTCTCTAAATAGCTTATGGCATGCAGATTTCCATACTAGTGTATTGGTCATGTGTCATATACTGAGGCAGGAAGTACTCTCAACAGCTTGATTAATCTGATGGCTTACTATGAGTGCAGCAGACATCTTCATTGGGAGTCCTCTGTTTTTCTCCTTTCTCCTATATCTGATTATCACATGAATGGGATCAGGATAACGTTGGCTTATTCACCCCACACACAAAGTGCTGTTTCTGGTTCATAATTGTATACATTTCTGCATGAATAGAATCCTGGAACCTAAGCAAATACAATTTCTCTTTCTAGTTGTGAAACTGTTCCAGACCCTCAAATTATGTTGTAATTAAGCTAGATAAAAAGTTCCCATTGGCTCCAATTGAAGACTTTTTCCAAGCCTAGCTTCTCTGGGGCACACAGGCTGACTGGGAACTCTGAAGAGTTCTTGGTTTCCTACCAAAGAATATCAGTTCCATAGTTTGGAAAGTGCTGTTCAATCTAGTGCTGCCTTAAGGGTCATATATAGTTTTGGTTTGGAGTACATTTTAACAGTTTAGAGCAGTGTTTCTCAATCTTGGAAACTTAAGATGTATGGACTTCAGCTCCCAGAATTTCCCAGGCAGAATGCTGGCTAGGGAATTCTGGGAGTTGAAGTCCACACTTAAAGTTGCTGAGGTTGAGAAACACTGGTTTAGAGTGTTAAACCCATTGCAATCCTATCTAAATAGATACAGATTTGCTATAAAATCCACAAACTGGTAGCTTCCTGTTGGATTACCTGGGCTTTCCTTGGAAACAGTCCAGAAATTTAACTAGTCCAAAATAGGAGATATGATTATTACCTAGGTTTCATTAGTAAACTCCTACTATGCCTAAGCTGTCATAATGGTCACTTCTAAGTTGTTTGAGCCCAGTTCAGAGCTTTCAAGCCTTAAGAGGCTCTGTCGCAGGTTACCTGAAGAATCACCTCCTCTCATATATGTTTTCCTAGATTCTAAGATCATCTTGAGAACTCCTCTGGATCCTCCTCCCAGAGACAGTAAGCTCATTGGTTATTAGATAGAGGATCTTTCATCCCAGGAAAGCTCACCAGGTGATCTTCTTACTGCCAGTTTAAGATTTTTTAAAAAAATTTCCTGGCCTTTGTATTTTTATTACATTGAAAGCTTTTTAGATCTTTACAACAAAGAGTCCTGTGGCATCTGAAAGAGTAACAAATATGTTATGATGTATGTTTTATGGATCATGAACTGATCCACAAAAGCATATGTAATAATAAATGTGTTAATTTTTGATGTGCCATAAAAGTTTTTGTTGCATTTTCTGCACACAACTGATATGGCTTCTCCTCTGAAAAGGAGTTAATCTTTAAATGGTTTTATTCTTTTATTCCACTGCCCTTTTAGATTTAATATTTTAATGTTACTGTGAATTGCTATGCAAATAAACTTAATTCTTGGGCAATATATAAACACTACAAAGGAATGAACAAATATAGAATGTATAAACTCAATAGGCAATAAGTAAAAGCATACAATTGGTATGTAACATAAGGTAATTGACTCATATGGAAGGACCTCTGGCAAGGACTTTGAAGATTTATGTAAAATGAATGATAACTCTTAAATCACCTTTTCATTCCTTCTCGCTAAGTTTGTTTTCAGTCTAGTTGAGGGGATATTGTAAGTTTGCTTCACATTGCAGAAAAAGACAAATAACATACAAATTGGAATACTGATTATATTTGTGCAGACATTCATATTGACCTGAAACCTATAGATGGAAACAGTGTCTAGAATTGTCATTGTTTCCAACATGTCAGGAATTATTTTCTGAATATAAAATGTGGAAATGAGGCAGAGAGATGATCATGTGGTTATTGTGGGAAGTGGTAGCTGAGCTAAAGGAAACTTCATCCAAAAAACAGACCAGAAACAATTCTCTGTGTATTTTGTGGAGAATCTAGTTAACTATTAATAAAGGCATTCTAAGAATAGTCCCTTGTAACTTAAACATAAAAATGTTTGTGCTAATATTGCAAAAAAGACTTTAGATCAGTGGAAATTTTACTTGTACTCCTTTTCTATGTAGGATAATTGCCTTGCTAAATAGAACTGCTTTAATTGCATATTTATCCTAGAACAGCAATAGCCAGTGCTCAAAATTGGACTGGAGATGGTGTTACCTCTTAGTAACCACATAGATAGACCTTCTCCAGGATGGTATATCTCCAACCTGGCTTTTTAGGCCTCAATGATACACTGATTACTATTGTAATTTAGTTAATCCACCTTCCTGCTGGTCATCCTCTTCTTCTCTTCCCTTCCATTTCCCCAGCATTATGAACTTCTCAAAGGAGCTGGGTTTTAGTATAATATGTCCAAAATATGATAATTTGAGTCTGATCATTTGTTTGTTTTCTTGGCTGCTCATCATATTCTCAAAAGATTTCTCCAACACCAAAGTTCAAAAGCATCAGTACTCTTTCTGTCTTCCTTTTTCAAAGTCTGAATTTCACATCCATAAAGTATCACAGGAAAAAACATTGTTTGCGTGACTCTGATCTTTGTAAGTATAGATACATCATAGTTTCTGAATACTTTTTTCAAAGCCTCCATTGCTACCCCACCAAGTGCTAGTTGGTAGTGTATTTCTTGACTGCTGGTTCTTTTACTGTTCATAATTGGTCCTGTGTCCATCACTTCAGTGTCTTCTTCACAAGCTGGTTGCTGTGCCTGTTTTTATTAGTGTGGTCTTAATCATAGTCTCATTTTTACACTGTGCTCCTTGATTTTCATTGTAGAGCTTGCAGATCCTTTGCAATTTTAGCTATCAAAGTAGTGTAATCATATAGCACAGGTTATTGAGGACAATTAGAAATTTTGGGATTCTCATTTTCCTAAAGATATTCCACAGCTTGACCTGGTCAACACAGTAGAGGTCTTTTGTAATCAATGAAGCACATGTTGACTTGGTATTCTTTGGCTTTCTCAGTTATCCAGTGTGCATCATGTCTCTTGTTGCTTGGCCTTTTCTAAAACCTCCTTGAACATCCTGCATTTCCCTTTTCATGTAGGGTTCTAATCTATATTGGATGATCCTAAGTATTATTTTGCTAGCATGTGAAATTGATGGTATTATATGATAGTCTGTACACAGTTAAGTCTATTTTCTCTGAGATTGGTATTTCCAATCTGTTGACCACTATATAGTTCTCCAAATTTGCTGACGTAGTTTGGTTAGAACCTTTACTGATTCTTCTTCTGTTGTTTGCCATATTTCTGTAGATACTCCATCAATTTCTGTAGCCTTCCAATTTAGTAATTACCAAAATGCTGTTTCAGAGACTGTTGTAAATAGGGAATATCTTCTAAGGTATCTTGCACGTTGATATGCCCACTGTATACAATCCCAGTATATTCCTTCCAACTTTCTTTGATCTTGTTTGATCTTTAGTTATTATCCATATGTTGGTGTCCTTTACTTATCAATTTAAGGTTGGAACCTGATTCTGAGTTCAGAGATCTCTGGGAAAGCTTTCCTTGTCTTTCTGTTGTTTCCATCTTTGTTGCCTTTATAATACTGCTTTGTAATACTGCTTCTTGCCTCTTCTAACAACTCTCTGAAAATCTATGTAAAGTCCCTTCCTGGCTTTGACTTGTCTTTTTGGCAATTTCTACCATCTATTCTGTCATCCAGTTTCTTTCTTGGTCTTTGGCAGTCTCTTTTCACATTCATCCTTAACAACTAATTTGATTTCATTCCATAGTTCCTCTGATTTCCTATCAAGGGGTTTCAGGTAATTCCTGATGTTCTTGTTGAAAATGGTAGGTATATGCTCAAGAACCTATTGTGGAAATTGGTTGGCTTTGTTTTGCTTTAGCTTGACTTGGAATTTACATATGAGCAGTTTGTGATCTTTTTCACAATCAGACCCTTGCTATGTCTTTGCTGTTATAACTGAGCTCGTTTACCTCCTTGCACCAATAATATAGTCAGTTTGATTTCAGTGTTCTCCATTTGATGATGTCCGTGCATATAGGTGTCATTTGTTTGAAGAATGTGTTAACAATGAAGAAATCATTGAATTGGCAGTTATTTTTCAGCTTTATTTCTTTTCTCTATGCCATACAGTCCAACTATGTTTTCCTCCTTACTATTTCCAACTTTGGCATTCCAATCTCCAACCACGAGCAGTTCATCTTGCTTGCAAATTCTGTTGATTTCTCATTGAACTTGACCATAAAACTCATAAACCTCCTTTTCTTCTGCATCAGTGGTTGGAGCATGAACTTGGATAACTATCTTATTAAAGGGTTGTCCATGAATTATTGATGTTATTCAGTCATTGGCTGTATTGTACCCAAATAGTGTCTTTGCTTTATTATTCCTGACTATGAAAGCAATGCTGAATAAAATAGTATGATGTTCTAACTGAAAGTGTCTAACTCTAGTCCATTTCAATTCACTAATGCCCTAAGATGTCAGTGTGTAGTTAATTTATTTAATCTTTCACTGTGCAGGTCTTTCCCAGGTTCGTGCTTCTTATATTCTATGTTCCTGCTATATTTTCTGTCTTTGCAGCTTTGGGTTTTCTTTTCCTGCCTGACAACAGACATCCTGAGGGCTTTAATCTAACTATGTCATAAATACCATTAGTACTCTGAAAAAGTACTCTTCGTCAGTAGCATATTAAGTGCCATTTGACCTGAGAAGTCCATTATCTGACACTATTTGGTTATGTTGCTTGGTCACCATTTTAGATTTTGTATTTATATATTGTTGAGGTTTAATGTTAATGTGCGTTTTCTGGGGGGGGGTGTTATTGTTTATTTTTTATGTTGTATGCTGTGATGGAATGGTTTGGTGAAGGCCGTGCTCAGGGAGATAAGCATTTCCTTAGCCCCCAGCAGGAGCGTGGGAAGCTCAAGAGGATGAGACTGGCACCACCCTAAGGAATTCGCGGTATTTGCTTGCTGGCTTGAGAAGTTTAGATTGAGTCTGGCAGGATTGATGTCAGGTTCAGCCCAAAGAACTCCACAGGACAGTACAGGTCTAGTTTGATAGCTTTTATTAGCTTTCACCCACAAGACAGAATCTCGCCAGACTGAATCTAAACTTCTCAAGCCAGCAAC